ATTTTATTTTATTTTATTTTATTTTATTTTATTTTATTTTATTTTATTTTACTTTATTTTTGGCTTAGCCTGGCTGAAATGCTTTGAATGTGCTTTTTCACTTATGGTCACTCACTCTTATTAAACTCACAAATTATTCTGTGTTGGACATCTGTCATAAAGCTGCTGGAGCATTACGTTATAGAGATAAGATTTTTATACTTTTTTTGAAGTATTGCTTGTTTTAAAAGTCTCGAGTTACAGTATGAAAATGAGGACAGGACAAGTCCTGCATATACTTAACATCTGTGTGAAACATTATTCAGATTTTTCTGAAGTAGGGTTGCCAACTGACGCAAAAAGGAAGAAAAAAATCAAATTGGCCAGGTTTCTTTTTAAAAAAAGCAGTTTTCTTTAACATAAAACTTTTATCATTATGCTGGCCCTCCAGCCAATTAATTCATAGTCCCTGAAGTGAACTTCAGTACAGAAGTTGACAACAATTCCGCCAGAACCATACTTTTGTGCATGTTCTTGAGGCTCTGTAGGATTTGGGAGTAGATTGACATTCCTGATTTTCTTGTCTGTCAGTTTTAACTTAATGCTTGAGCAAAATCCTACTTAACACTGTCTTTCAGAGATCTGTTGCAGAGCTAACGATTCTGCTAACAATTTTGTTAATTATCTGGAATATTATTTATTTCAACTATGTATTATGGCTGTGACTAATCTGGAGACTAAAAGGATGTATTTACTGCATAGCAGATCTCAATTAAAATCACGATCAGTTTGAAAACTAAAATATAAGAATATTCCACTTGACCTGAGTAGATTGTTGACACAAAAATTCTTCTAGGCAAAAGCATCAGAACCACAATTAAGCATTGGAACTGGACACAGAAACAGTTTTTTCCCCCTTTATTGAACTGTAGTCCAGATATGAAACTGAAGCATAAGATGCTGATCTGGTGATATACTGCAGGACAATTTGTACAGAGAAAGACTTGTAAATGTAATTCTTCAATTTATACTGTTTCGAAGGTTTTTATTCCCTAGGAAAGGCTATTCATTTTATTAGTTACATAATTAAAAATAAATAAATAGCTTTTAGAACAAAGGAACTTAAGCAATTAAACCAGGAATAGGCTTTCTTTAAGTGTACTTCCCTGTTTTGTCATAGATTAAAATGTTTCTGGTTTATATTGCTGGAAAAGGTACTACATAATTTAACCAATTAGTATGAACAGACCTCAGCTACTGTATTCTTTATTTGCTAGTATAGTTTTAGCATTTGAACATCAGCTTCTTCAACACAGCATCTTTCAGATATGTTTGGGCTGTGTTTCCAAGAATTTCTAAAAAGTGAGGCCCAAGGCTCTACTCTCAGAAATGTTGATAGTTATACTCTCTGGGGAGAAGGAAAGCTCCTTTTTTGCTACATGGACATTGGGAGGATAGGCTAGAAGAAGTTGCAAGAAAAAAAGAAAAGGAAACCAGTGAAAAAGTAGTTTTTCTAATATTCAGTTAGAAGTATAAGACAGGGATCTCAGGTTTTTATTTTTGTTTTTTTTAATTTCTGCTTAGCTCCTTCAGTATTGGCCTCCAAAAAAGTCTCTTCACTGTTGTCTTTCCTTAAAATTCACAGCATATTCCCTTTTAGTACACCTGGTTTCTTATAACATTCCCTTTGGAATAAATACTTCAAATAAATAAGGGAATAAATAAAAACAAGGCTCAGGAGAAAGCAAAGTATTATAGCAAGTGAGAGCCCTTTAAAAACAGTGTAAGGAACCTTCTTACATAGAGTGCAGGAGATAGAAAAAAATATTATTATGGGGCAATAAGCCCCATAGAACACAGTAGTAATTCATTTCAAAGTAAGTGACTAATAGTTGGGTCTTTAAGGTAATTCTACATAGAAAAACAATAAAGATTTAAAAACTCAGACTGCACTCCATTTCATTCCCCCTCCCTTAGACCACATCTGGACTTAACAATATTTTAGAATCCATATTCAAAATTTACTCTTAAAGTCTCATATTAGTGTTATGGAAATAATTTTGTGTTCAGGTTTTTTTTTCCCCCCTGCCTGTTACAACAAATGAGGTAAAGCTGCTGAAGGCATCTTCTGCTTGCATACTGTTTTGCTGACAAAAGTCCTGGAGCCAAGGAGCAAAATGCACCCTGTCCTGGTTAAGCACAGAACTTTTACAATCCCTTTCCCAGCCTGTTGTACTCCAGATGTCTTAGTTGACAACTCCCATAACTCACAGCCAGCATGGCTAATTCTGTCATTAGAATTCTTTCTGAAAACAGTTATAACAGCAAAGCTCAGCAGCATTGTAGAGCTATGTAGATTTCGGCCTGCTTATGTTCACCTGCTTACCTGGATGATGCCTTCAGGATATTTGCCCTCAGCTTCCTAAGATGCCTCCCATGCAGTATACAAAGGCTGCCTTCTTATGGGAAAGAATAATCCGGAGTTTCCTTGGATTCACAGATCTTTCCAGGTCTTTTGAATCCTTCCTCGGTGTTAATCATTCCATTTGAGACCCAGATAGTTTCAGGCCTAGCAATTATCAGATTCCTAAAGGAAGCAAGCCCAGAAAGTCAGCAAAATTAAATTGTGTGCAAGTACTTTTTTAAAAAAAATGGTGATTTGAATGCTAAACATTTTAGTTAGCAAGTTCTTCTGCTTAAAGTGACAGTGAGTTAATTCCAGAGAAACCCTAGAGTGAGATAAACCCAATAATTGCTGTAGCGCTTGAGTCCAATTAACTCCCTCTTCATTGAACCCAGTATCTTTTCATAGTTTAGCAACTTCCGAAAACTGTATAAGGTGCAAACTTGTTCTTTCCTCTTTTGTGAATTAGAGTCACATTCTAACTCCACATCTTGGTAAAAGTTTTATAATTGAATTGAGCTGGAATTGCACCCTGAAACATTTATTAAATGCACTTGTTTTGCAAGTCTTAATCCTTACACTTAATTGTCTGTTATGTTTGGAAATACTGCATCTTATACACAGTCTTTGCAATTACTGTTTTGTGAATTAAGTCCATGTGTTTTAGTCCTTAAAAACCTAGAGCTATTTTTTGACCTTTAATTACAAATGTAGGCTCAACTACAGGATTGTCTGCCACACCACCTGCATCTTTACCTGGGTCTCTCACTAATGTGAAAGCATTACAGAAATCCCCAGGGCCTCAGAGAGAAAGGAAGTCCTCATCATCTTCTGAAGACCGTACTAGAATGGTAAGGACAAAATCATTTTTTAACTGGCACCCATTTGAGATTCACCATGTAAGCCAAGTTTCTTGTCTCCTACCTATGATTAGGGAATCAAAGGGATTCCCCAGCCTTTCTCCCTTTGTGTATGCAGATTCCCCCTTAAATGTTCAGGGCTTGATATCGTATAACATGGTGTGCTATGCTTGTAAAATGTGGGTTTGGACTAATTGGGGCTTTTAAAAAGTGTAAATGTAAGGCCATTCACATTAAGAAAACATACATAAATGTTTGATTAAGAAGACTTATGGAACTATTATTAAACTTGCTTTTCTTGCAGAAAACTCTAGGTCGACGAGATTCAAGTGATGACTGGGAGATACCAGATGGCCAGATCACAGTTGGACAAAGGATAGGCTCTGGTTCATTTGGGACAGTCTATAAGGGGAAATGGCATGGTATGTAGCTACTGCAGCAAACTGTTTTTCACCCAAAGTATTTAAAACAAATATTGAAACTTCAGCAGATTTCTCTATTGCTAAGGATTTTGAGAAATCTATAATTCTGAAATTTACCAAAAGTATTTTTATCAGGTTATAAACTGTCTTTCTGATTAACCTGCAGTTGTTAGCATCCAGGCATTTTGCAACAAATATTCCCATAGTGCTTTGAGCTTGTGTTTCTTGAGCAGCTGTTTTTTCTGCTGCATAGTAAAATCACATCAGAAACTGAAAAGGACTTCATAAAATGTTTGCGGTGCAAGACGAGAATGCCAGTCAGAGATCTTAAGTGAGCCTTTAGTAGCTTCTTGTTTTTTTTTATCAGTGTGCTTTGTATAATAAGACTTTATGGAACAGTATTGGTGTATACGAAACACTTAACCATTTTATGAGTGGCATATGTAACTTACTTTCATTTTTGACCAAAACATCCATAGCTCACTTTTTAAAATTCTTTTTTTAAGGTGATGTAGCAGTGAAAATGTTGAATGTGACAGCTCCCACCCCTCAGCAGTTACAGGCTTTTAAAAATGAAGTAGGCGTTCTCAGGTAAGATTATATGAAGATGACACAACCAGAGAAGCCACTAACCTTTCATATTAACATACCAGGTGTGTCCAGAACTGAAAACCATTCACAACAGTGCTGGGGGTTCTACAACCACCATATTCCAAGGGCTTGGAGAACAGCCAGGTTTTCAGGGACTTTCAGAACATCATCATCAACCATATGGATCTCTGGGGGGATGCTATTCCAGAGGGCATGAACTGTAACAGAGAAGGCATGATTCCTACGCCCCAATAGATAATATTGTTTAATCAAGGGAACCTGGAGCACATCCACTCTGTCAGATTATACCAGGAGGGTTTCAGCCTTTTATTTACAGATATACATGACATTTAAAACAACCAAAAATTTAAACAGGCTTCCTTCACAAGAAAAATCATACTACACGTAGCCCTTGCTTAACAGTCGTCTATTTAATGACGGTTCGAAGTTACAACAACCTTGGAAAAAGTGCTTTACAATCTGTACTCACAGTTATGACCATCGCACACCATCACACGAAGTGATCACAATTTGCAACCTTTTTATAATGGTTGTTCAGTGAATTACATGGTCATTAGCAAATTCCAGCAAAAAAGTCCATTGGAGAAGCTGGATTTGTTTAATGACCACGTAAAAATGGTCGTAAAATTGGGTCCAGCCATGTGGTGACTCGCTTAACAGCCACCCTCCTAACAACCAATTTTCCAGTTCCCATTGTGGTCGTTAAGTGAGGACTACCTTTAATGAGGTCATCAAATGTATTGGTTGGAAAGGAAAAAAGCAAACAAGGGAGAAGAGGAAATGGAATGAAATATTCAGTAATGTGTCAGTTTTCATTTGTCTAGTGTGAGGCATTTAGGCAAAGTTTACATTGTTTGATTGATCAAATTTATATGCTGCCCATCTCACTATATAAGTAACTCTAGGTAGCTTACAAGTAAAAAAGTAAGCAATAAAAATCTTTACAAAAATATACAAAGTTAAAAGACAGAGAACATCCTCAAGCCACCAGCCACCCCCAGTGCTGCAAACCCCCATTGGATCCCCATGCTGGCAGAGCCAGGTCTTAACGCTCTTCCGGAAGGCCAAAAGAGTGGGGGCCAATCTCACCTCAAGGGGTAAGATGTTCCACAGGGCAGGGGCAATGGCAGAAAAGGCTCTCCTCCTAGACCCTGCCAGTTGAAATTCTTTAGCATTGTCTGGTGGGGTGGATAGAAAGTTTCTTTCATCTCTCAAAATTCAACTCTTCACTGCAGTTTCTTGGTAGCTGACTTACAAACAGCAGAAAATGGTACTTTTGTTACATCCTGTATTTGGTGGTGTATTACCTATTGCAGGATATTGCAATCACCTCTTAGTTGGCTTGAAATAACTATGAGATGAATGGGAGCTGTCTGCCTTTAAATACCATTGCTACAGGGTAGCAGTAGGAGAGTTTTATTCTTCCATACTTTGTTTACAGGCATTCCAGTGGCATCTAGTTTGCCATTGTGAGGAACAAAATGCTAGACTGTGGTCTGATTTGATATTTAAATGAGTGCAGATTCAAAGCTTTAATCTCTAGAATAGCATGTTGTTTTCATTTTTTTTCCAAATAATTTTAATTTTTCTTTTTCTCCAACCCCATAGGAAAACACGACATGTGAATATATTACTTTTCATGGGTTATTCAACAAAGCCACAGCTGGCTATAGTTACACAGTGGTGTGAAGGGTCCAGTCTTTATCATCATCTACACATCATTGAGACTAAATTTGAAATGATCAAGCTGATTGATATTGCACGCCAGACAGCACAAGGAATGGAGTAAGTTGGGTATCATTTGCCGAGCAATGTGGAGGAAATCTAAATTAGTTCCCTACACTGGAATAATTCATAGGAAGTTTCAATGAGTAGAGAAGATTTCAAGTTGATTTTTTTTTTAAAAAAAGACAACCAAATATGTTGATTTTCAAATTGTTGCTGAATTTAAGGAAATTGGTCTGTAAGTGTAGAACACAAACATAAGTTTGTGACTTTTAATTTATGCAATGCATTGATTAATTGCTAAACAGTCAAAGACCAGAAAGATGTTATATAAACATTCAGACAACGTGACAAACATATATAGAAACAAATGAAACTGAATGGGTAGAAACCAACATCTTCTAGTGAGGATTGCTGTGAAAACACAAATAATTTATACAGAGATCAATGAAATTAAATGTTAAAAATAGGCAAAATTGATCAGGCTTTGTAAAAAACAAGTACAGAAGAGAGCCTAAACTTAATTCATTGTTAAACATACCAAATGGATTCTAATGGCAATAGCAACAATTAAAAATGCTGCCAGTCTTTCTAAAAATGTCAGTACCAGATTGATCTCATAACAACTGATCTATAATCACTGAATCTTACTAACTAGAGGTGCAGTGAGCTTGAGATGCCAGCTATGATATAAAGAACATTTTAATAGCATGTGAATCACAGGTTCAACTTCAGTGTCAAAGAAGGCAGAGAGGTGGCTTTGCTGAGGAATATTATAGTACCTTCCCATCACCCCATCAAGAGCAATTAGTTCATGATAATACAAAAATCCTCCTGTGGAGTTGGAGAATATAAAAATATACAGTTGTGGTGAATGGGATACATTAATTCCACAGTAAAGATATGACATTTTGGATGTATCTTCTTGGCCATCTAGATCTAAAATTCTACATTTGAGCTCTGTCATAGCTTTCCCTGGACCTAGTGAGAGAATAGCTGAGGGGCAGAGCTTACAATGAATCAGGTTTGTTTTGTTTTTCTTTTTCAATAAAGAAATGTATTTATAAATAAAATTTATAGGCTGCCCAACTCATAATGACTCTTGGCAGTATACAAGATAAAAACAATTCAAGACAGACAAAAGAAAATGATAACCCAGAAAATAACATACTAAACACATTAATATAATTCTCATAGCAGCACACACTTCCTAACTTAGCACCTGGGGGGAAAGCTAGGTCTTTAAGGCCCATTTAAAGGATGCAGAATCAAGCAACTTGAACCTCTGGGAGGATAGTATTCCAGAGGGCAGGTACCACAACAGAGAAGGCATGCAATTGTTAGAAAAATAAACCAGATTAAAGACTCATGCCAAATTTTTTATTATGGCCAGTATTTACCATATTTTTCCATCTATAAGACGATACTTTTTTCTAAAATTGTTACACTAAAAATTGAGGGGCGTCTTATGCAAGGAAGTAAGCCGAGGAGAGAACTGCACAGTTGCAAAACTGCCCATACTTTGTCTCTGCAAACAGGCTTCCTCCTATCACTAGCCTCCAA